CGACAAATGAAAATCTGGCCGGACGAACTTCAGCGCTGTACCGATCTGGAATATTTGTACGTGAAATTGAATATTCTGCTTAAAACCATGGCGAAACTATGGAGACTAACGTAACATGTGTCCATCAGATCGATCTATTATACGGGAGTAGAAGTTATTCCAGATTGGTTCAGCGTCTTTCGCAAGCTGGAGTTCTTGTAAGTATCTCGAACTTTGTGCTGTCTAACTTGGCAAACTCTAATTCTATTTTTTTTTTACCTGATAGGGATCTTCAGGGCAAGTTTGGACATACAAATATTCTAAGTATGCCGTCAGACTCGTTCTCGAATATGGGGTCTTTGACATTTATACACTTAGGATATCTTCAACAACTCCCACAATTACCGAGTTTTCAAGGGCTCTACAATCTCAAAAGCATGTCGATTGCTCTGCTTTATGCTCTAACCACACTACCAGATCTGGAACCTCTCGTGAAGCTTCAACGAATGGAACTCGTTGCGTTGAACTCCCTTCGCAGACTTCCTGAGGTTGCTTCTAATCATCATCTAGCGCACTTGGTGGTTTGGCAAGCACAACTATGTTGCAATGGGTTTCTTGGCTATTGCGACGTCTCTCACCCCGTTTGCGCTGGTTTGTCAACCAATGAGTGTATCTCAGTATCTGACGGACCGAGTATCGAGAGCCAAGTGTTTTTCGCTTCGCAACCGGCTCTGTGTGATAAGAACGAGCCGTTCATTCCTAACGCGTTACCTCCGCTAAAAGCACAGATAGACGTATGCGGAGGTGTACTCTACCGACAATGCCGTGATCCGCTCTTCGAATCTAAACCGGTGGGGATTTGTGTGAACCTCTACTTTCAAGTGATTGCTTGCAATTCGTTCGACTTAACCGCAATTTACGGTCGACAGCAGGAGATTTTGTATGGACTTGGTCTCCCATGTGACCCGAAAGAAGAAGCTTGGCTAGGTTGTGTCTAATTTACGAGTATCGTTATTGTCAGCATGGTAGATGGACGTGCTCAGGGCAGCATACGGTATCATGTTCAAACGCTTTTTTTTTTCTCCAACCACGGTGTGGTTGCTCGTATTTCTAAAAATACAATCTTTTAAGTACATGTATTACAGTAGTATTGGCAATAGTACTGTAACGAGTGTCATCAATGTTGTATAATAGTAATCTACATCTAAAGTTTATAAGAGTACTTTAGTTCTGTAGACACTTGTA